ACGCGGCTCTCCTGACGGTGGGCGCACCCTCGGTCCTAGGCACGCGGCTCTCCTGACGGTGGGCGCCCTCGGTCCTAGGCACGCGGCTCTCCTGACGGTGGGCGCCCTCGGTCCTAGGCACGCGGCTCTCCTGACAGTGGACGCACCCTCGGTCCTAGGCACGCAGCTCTCCTGATGGTGGGCGCCCTCAGTCCTAGGGACGCGGCTCTCCTGACGGTGGGCGCACCCTCAGTTCTAGTGACGCAGCTCTCCTGACAGTGGGCGCACCCTTGGTTCTAGTGACGCAGCTCTCCTGACGGTGGGCGCCCTCGGTTCTAGTGACGCAGCTCTCCTGACGGTGGGCGCCCTCGGTCCTAGGGACGCAGCTCTCCTGACGGTGTGCGCACCCTCGGTCCTAGGGACGCAGCTCTCCTGACAGTGGGCGCCCTCGGTCCTAGGGACGCAGCTCTCCTGACAGTGGGCGCCCTTGGTCCTAGGCACGCAGCTCTCCTGACGGTGGGCGCACCCTCGGTCCTAGGCACACAGCTCTCCTGATGGTGGGCGCACCCTCGGTCCTAGGAACGCGGCTCTCCTGACGGTGGGCGCACCCTCGGTCCTAGGCACGCAGCTCTCCTGACGGTGGGTGCACCCTCGGTCCTAGGGACGCGGCTCTCCTGATGGTGGGCGCACCCTCGGTTCTAGTGACGCAGCTCTCCTGATGGCCAGCACTCCATTTATTTTACTTCACAGAAGTCCAGTGGGCCCTGGGCATCCATGCGTCTGTGTCTGAGGAATTCTTTCCCAGTTGACCCTGGTACTTGAAAGGACACTGCATGTCCTTGGCATGTGCAGACTTTTCCTTTCTCGTTGGCCTCTAACCCTAGAGTTCATGACCCTGTATGTGGCAGTACACTGAATTGGGTGCTGTAAGTCATCCAGAGGCGACTGAGGTATGCGCATGTAGAGTACATGCAATGCTTCAGTATTGATATGAGGGGTTGGGCATCCCAGATTTGATCTCTGCGGGGTCCCGGACCAGCCCTTCATAGATACCAGGGGTGACTCCATTTGCAAGCTTTATGCTTAATGCTGACCTTTGGGGAAGGACTTAATGTCATCTAAGTACTAGTGTGAGATGAAACAATTTCTCAGATAGCTTGTGATCCTAGGGGCCCATTCTTGGACTGTCACTGTCTCAGAATCATTCTTAGAAAACCCCAGTTCCCAGACCTTCTTCCCTCAACCCCACCACAGGGCCCTGCCCTCTTGTGCTTTCCTGGCATCCTCTGTAGTGTTTGCCTCCGTTCAAAACACCCCAGAACCCAGACCTCTGGCCTCACAGCTCTCTGAGAAGCTTCCAGAATTGCCATTTGCCTGGACAGTTGTCCCTTCTCACTTCCCATCCTCAGCTTTCTGCATTCACCTCCCATGGGGCCCCACAGAGCCCCCACCCCGCCCCTGCCACACTCTCTCCCTTGGGCCTTCCATCCTCAGCCCGCCCCGGGAGCCCTCAGAGACTCGCAGGCTCATCGTTCTGCATTCACCTCCCATGGGGCCCCCACCGAGCCCCCACCCCGCCCCTGCCACACTCTCTCCCTTGGGCCCTCCATGCTCAGCCCGCCCCAAGAGCCCTCAGAGACTCGCAGGCTCATCGTTCTGCATTCACCTCCCATGGGGCCCCCACCGAGCCCCCC